CGGATCTGCTCTCGCGGGGAGGAAAGCCATATTGTAATGGCGCACTCAGGCTGACAATAGAGCTACAAGGCTACCCGGCCACGCAGCCACGGTTTACAATATCTCCTGACAAACAACAATCGCCCTGTTCCCAAAATTCACGCGGGAAACTGATACGATTGAAAAGCACAAGACCTGGCTCCACAATGCCGCTTCCTGGCACTGTTCTGTGCCAGGAGAAGCTATTTTAAGTGGTGAAGGGCATGCCCCGCTTCGGGCTGGGCGAGGAGAAGGCGGGCGCGAGGAACGTGCCGCCTCCCGAGACGGCATCGAGAAGAGCCGAGCCGCGTGCCGCGCTGGGCCCACGGGAGGCCCCATAGCCATGGGCACCGCTGGCACCGCAGCACAGCTGGATTATGTAGTGGTCACCACCTCCCTTTCCCAGTATCAGCCTGCAGCGCCCAGCGCAGAGGCGGGCACGACCCCCAGACCGTCCAGCATTGCAAACCCCTGGCTTTTTGTGGGGAAACATTAAAACCAAGGCCTCGCGGCGCTAACGAGGGCTTAAGGAAACGTCATCGGGGTGGCTTCTGCAGCGTAGCCCGGTGACTGTAGCCACACCAGAGCCAGATCCCGGGCAGGACTCGCACCCTTCTCTCCAGAAGGGCTTGGGTCCCACCTGACATGCCAGAGGAGACCACTGGAGACCCCAAAAACTTTCAGGGGGAAGAGCAAACCCAGCCCCGGTGCAACCGTGGGTGTTTCTGAGTTCATTTGACCACACACACAACACCGACACATCCTGAGCACGGCAAGCGGGCAGCTAACCGAAGCCCGCGGCGTGGCCCCGGGCTCCCGGGACAGCTCAGCCCTGCTCTGCCAGCCCGCTCCGGACCTCGGCTGCAGCTGGTCCCAGCCCCAGCCAGGCTCCGCAGTGACCCCGGCCACGCTGCCGGGCGCTAATAGGCACCCACCCGACGGCATCGATTTTCCTCCCAAAGGCCGAGGAGAGAATTGTCTCCGCTATAACTCCTCAACGTTCCAGTTTTCAATTATATCTAGGGCCCGACGCGGCGCTCGCTCTGCTAGTTATTGCCTCGACACCTGGCCCCTGACAGTGATGAATCTGAAACCATTAGCCCCGGGAGACAGGCTGGATTGTTTCGTCATCTCTGCTGCGCGGCAGCATCTCCAGCCCCGCTCCGGGACGAGCCCCGGCGGAGCTGGACGTGGCCGGAGAGCCCGGGAGCCCGCCCTGCCAGAAACGCCCTGCCTCGTGCCTCCACGACCCCAGCGCTCACCAGGACTGTTGTTCCTGGATGCCAATAGCAGGACTGGCCTGAGGCCCTCCAAACTCATGACAGCTCGCCTGCCCGCGTCCAAAGCAGAGCCAGCTCGTGAGCTGGACTGCACCGTGCCGAAGGAACGGCGATGCACACAGCCGTTGGACTCTTGTGCCCGAAGCTCCCCGCCCCGGCCGGCCGTGCCCCGAGCTCAGCCGCTGAACGGCCCTCGCGCTCCCACGGTTGTCCCGTTTCCTGCGGGTCCTGCTCCAGGCAGGGGGCCAGGCGGGCAGGAGTCACTCCGCACGCCCGCCCACCCTTGTATTCAGCCTCCGGGGACGTGGCCACACGGGACCCCCCCTTGCCACCCAGCAGCCCCGCATGGACCCGGGCCGAGCGAGCCACCTACCTCCAGCTCCTTGAAGAAGATGCAGCTCCGCGCCCACTCCACGATGGAGAAGAGGGTCTGGTCTGCCATCTTGCACATGAGGCCGAAGGTGCTGAGCTTCTCGTGCCGGCCCTTGCCCTGCTCCTGCTGCAAGCAGGCTAGTATCCGAGCCTTCACCTGGGGCTCGTCGGGCTCCAGCTGCAGCAGCTTGAGGATGACCTCAGGGATGTCGGGCGGCGAGCTGTTGGGGTAGGCATCAGGGTACACGTAGCCGGCCACGGACTCGTGGGAATTTGTGTAGGGGTCCGGGTACTCGGACTTGATGGTGCGGTTGGGGAAGGAGGGGTAGTGGTAGCCGGACAGCGCCCCGTGGCTCGGCACAGTCACGCCCAGGGCCGGGGTCCCGTAGGGGCTGCGGTCGTAGTCGACGGGCGTGAGGGCGGCCGGGTTGGGAGGCAGGGTCTTGGCTGCGGCGTGGAGGCCGTGGATGGTGGAGGACAGGTTGTAGTCACTTTGCACGGGGGACACGATCTGAGGCACAGTCTCCAGCTTGAAGCCGTTGGCACGGATCAGAGCCTTCTTCTGCTGCTTTAAGGCACGGTCTCGCTTGTACATGGGCCCGAACTTGTTTCTTCCTCCTCGCATCCGGTCGGCACGCACGGCTGTGAGGGGCAGAGGGAAAGGACGGTCGTCGGACCGGGCTGCATGCAAAGCCACCACCCGGTTCCTGAAGTCTCCGGGAACAACACCCCCCTCCCCGGGCTGCTGCCTGGTCAGCGGGGGCAGGGGCAGTGAGGGGCTTTTGCTGGACACGGGGGCGGGGGCCTGGGGCAATAGGCAGCCTCGAACCAGCTGGTCCAAACTAGCGAGGCAGCTCAGAGCGGGGGCTCCAGGGCCCGTCCACGTCCCGTCCCCCCGGCTGAGAAGCCCCTTGCCCGGGCCGTGATGAAGAGGCAGGCTGCTCTCCAGGAGCCCGAGGAGACCTGGGGGGACCTGCAGCTCCCCACTCCCTGCACCCCCACGCCACCAGAAAGGAAGGAAATTAGGTTTTTACCTCGTGACTACAGAGAAAAAGCTGGAGGATGTGCAGCCAGAAGGCAAATAACCCCCCCAAAAAAGAGCCCCAATTGCATCTCATGCGTTTTAACCCACACACAGGGTTTTCTGGGGCCCGACTGGCCCGGGCTAGCACAAGCATCTCAAGGAAGCCCCGTCTGAATGGGACCCGGCGCGTCCGCACCTCCCTGCCAAGCCCGGCCAGCCTCACGGTGAGACACACGACCGGGCTCTGCAGGAGGCACTGCCCGGACCCGCGGCAGGCCCGTGGTTGCTCGGGGTTTACATCCTCTGCCTGAGAAGCCTGCTCGGCTCGGCCCCGCTCCCTTGCAAGCGGCAGAGGCTCCCCGCGAGCCCGGAGCGGACACAAGAATGTGTCACGGGCCGAGGAAGCAGGTGCTTCTCTGCAGCACGAGACGGCTCCTTGCCTCCGCCACCACCCCGCGGGGACGGCTGCTTCGGACGCCGCGCTTGCAGGAGCCGCCAAGAGCCGAGCCCTCCGCACTGGGTGCCCGGGAGGACAGGCCAGGGATGGGGAGCCCAGTGCTGAGGGCGTGCTTGGGCACTTCTGCCTGCTCACAGCGGGTCGCATCTCCTCCCCCCCCCTCCTCAGAGCAATCGGCACTGCCGGGACCTCTGCCAAAGCTGTTACAGCCAAAACAAGGCCCGGAGGCTGAGTCCGGTGCACGGTCACCGGGCCCGGGGGGAGCAGAGGGTGGGTGCAGACGGCTGGAAGAGGCAGGGCCCGATCCTGCCGGCGTCCCCAGAGCAAAGCGAGGGAAGGGAAGGGAAGGGGACGCGAGAGGCCGGAAGCGTCGACGCCGCCCGCCCAGGGCTGGCGAAGCTCGGAGGGCCAGAGGTTTCTTGGATTCCCAAACATAGTCCGAGCGGGTGAAACATTTTTGACGTAATGTGCTCCACCCATCCGCTCT